ATCTATCTATCTATCTATCTATCTATCTAGATTTCTCCCTTTCTCCATATAGGCTAACATTTGATCCTTCAAGCTCTCCGTAGTTCTTCTGTGGCGCGGGCACAGGGCGGCTGTTACGTGCCTTTAGCGAGAATGCCGTTATCTGATGGGGAAATGCAGCACACTGCATCTCACTATACATCAGCCAATCTCATCCTCCCCTCTCTCCTGACGAGGCGCGCACGAGTCCTATCATGAAAAAAAGGTTAATTGTGGGACCTGAGTAACGTGCAGTAACGGGGTGTTGGCAGAGGTAACTACGTTGTAGTTACAGTCAAAGTTATTAGTTAGATTACTCGTCACTAAAACAAGGTAACAGAGTTATTAACGGCATTACTTTCAACGCCATTACTCCCATCACTGCTTATACCAAACACAAAAAAGAGTGTACACAAATCCTGATTAATGAAACATGCTGTATCTCAAAGTTTACTTCAAAAGCTCCATCATGTTTGATGCTTCAGATAAGCCTAACCCTAACCCATGTTATTACCCCCAATGCCTTGTAGATGCCTTGTAGAGGACCTTGAAGAGGACCTTCAGATATCAGAGTCTTCCTGTGGTTCATCTGTCCTGAAACCTCAAACTTCTCGGGACTCCGATTGTATTGTAAGACCCATTTCTTTATTTGTGATAGAACATTATTTGAGTAATGCCGACCAAAAAATAAACATCTTTAGACATCATCAAGCATTATTTTTATGCCAATCAAGGATTAAAAAATATTGATAATGACCACACAATGCAGAAAATAGAGTTACCTCAGCATTGGACTGCTACGATGTCAGATGGATTAATAGCCAGATTGTTCATTCTTTTTTCCTTTTATAAGAAGTGCTTTAAATATGTCCTAGCTGTCTTTATCCATGCTGGGTCAGATCCTGACTTTTGTAAGACAGAATACAGCGTTAGCCTCACTCTTTGCAGTTAGCCAAGCCTTGTAGCTTAACCAGGTCCTGGAACAAGACCAAGTGAACCATCTTTATCTGTCTTTTGGACTGCTGATTCATTTTGAGGCTGATCAGGTCCAAATGATTTCACCTCCAGCTGTTCTTGGTAAGTATAGTTCCCTCCCACGACTCAGCTTGTCAATCACCCGCACAACGACTGTGACGATAGTTCCTGTCAGCTCAGTGCATAGCTTTGGTGTACACACAGCTCTACTATAGTTCTGTATATGCAGAGGAGCTACTGCGCATGGAAAACTTTTAACAAGAGTCAATGGGCAAACATTTTTTGCACCCTTGGAAGGAAATATGTCAGCAGTCTGACGAAAAATGAAATAGCTTTACCTGTCATTAAAGATGAAATATTTATCTTGCACATCTAAAAAATATATTCCGTAAAAGTTAAAAAAATATCCACTGGACTTGCTTTCCAAGGTTTGAAGACGTTTCGCCACGTGGGGGAGTGGCGGCCTAGTGGTTAGGGAATAGGGCTTTGAATCCTGAGATTGTGAGTTTGATCCCCCACTCCCACAGACTGCCACTCTGGGTCCCTGAGCAAGACCCTTAACCTAAAACTGCTCCCTGGGCGCCTAACAAAGGCAGCCCACTGCTCCCCAAGGGGATTGGTTAAAGGAATAGTACACCCAAAACATGATTAGCCTTCATTTTCTACTCACCCCCATGCTGAACAACACTCTGGAGTACTTTTTTGATATC